TACACTGACAAATACCGCTACAACCTACATTGAATATTAAATGCAAACAAAACGCCACCAAGCTCGAGTGATAACAGTAATTACTACTACGATACCTGAGCAAACATAACCAACATACAAACAAACATACATACATACATACAAACAAACATACATACATACATACAAATATACATACATACGTACGTACATACATACATACGTACGTACATACATATTTGCATACATACATGCAACCGAATAAACATACATTCATACATACAAACATACATACACACTGTATGTATATACAAACATACAAATATACCTTTATATATATATATATGCAATATATACGAACATAGACATACAAAGTAAATGTATTTAAAAAAAAAAATAAAAAAATTTCAGTATCTGGGTTCGAGTACAAACTCCGCCTGTTATATGCAAGTAACATGTGACTCTGGATTTTCGCGAAAATTCATATACGCTGTTGTTAAGAAAAAATTGACTCTCAATTTTTTATCTGTCTGCGTTTGTGCGTGTTTGTATCTGTGTGTGTGCGCGCGTTTGTATTTGCGGGTGTGTTTATTCGTGTGTGTGTGTGTTTTAGTTTGAGGCTGACACACATATGTGTGTCAGCATACATACATACATACATAAATACACACACAAATAACCACACACACACATACATACATAGATACACACACGCGTGTGTGTGTACGTATAGGACGCAATAAGTTATTAATGTTTGTCCAGATTATTTCACGCATTCTCCACCTTCAATAATCCTATGATATGTGGCCTGTGCGCGCGTGTATAAACTACATTTCACACCACACACGCACACATACACACGCACATACACAAACACGTACAATTACACATACGTGCACCAACACAACACACGCCAATACCACATACATATCCAACCACATACAAACACACACACACACATACAAATACACACACATATACAAATAGACACACACACAAACTCACACGCACATAAACAAGCATCTGACAGGCCTAAAACCGCAATTATTATTACGTTACGCGGTTTGACTGAAGCTTCTTGTATGAGTGTGTATGTGAGTGTGTGTTTGTGTTTGTGTATATGTGAGTGTGTGTTTGTGTTTGTGTGTATGTGAGTGTGTGTTTGTGTTTGTGTGTGTGTTTGTGCGTGTATGTTTAGTCATATTTGGAATATACCAGTTTGTGTGTATAAAACAATAAATATAACAAAGAAAATAATAATAATAAATATAATGGTATACAATATAAATCAACACAACACAAGACAATACAACACAGTACAACACAATACAATACAAAACAATACGATACGATACGAATACAATACTATAAATACAATACAATGCAATGCATAATTCCCTAATTCTATTTCATTATACAATGCATAAATAACGAGTGAATGAATGAATTGATTGTTGTGATATGTAATCCGACCGAAACTTAATTTCTTATGTTTATTAATGAGGCCACTTTTTCTACTTCAATTTTTATTTGCACAATTATTTTATTATTATTATTTTTTATTAATTTTATTATTATTATTATTGTCATCATTATTGTTAACTTTTTTTTATTTATGGTATCAATATGACGTAGATTATTTTTTAGTATGATAGTTATAACATTTATCTTAGTATCTTTAACAAGTAAAATTACTATTATCATTACTATTACGACGACGACGACGATGATGATGACGATGATGACCGATTTCATCAACACTTATCAACTAAAATATTACATAATTGCTATTAATTAATGCCTACTGCATAAACAACAATCGTTACTTCATCTACTACTACAACTTCTACTACTGCCACTGCTACAACTACTACAACAACAACAACAACAACTACTACTACTACTATTACTACTACTACTGCTACAACTACAACAACTGCTCTTACTACTACTTCTGCTACTGCTGTGGCTACTGCTGCTACTACTACTACTATAAAACTACAACTACTAATACTTTTACAGTCACCAAAAACAACAAATATATTTTTTTAATTATACTGGCAAAAAAAACTAAAAAAAACAACACAATAACAGCTGGAAATGATATATAAGCTTCTTAAAATTGACTGAAACTTAATTTATTGTGCGCTCACTTTTTTAAGACTCCAGCATAATTAAATGGAATTTTTCATTAAGCCCTATATAACTATATATATATATATAACATTGTATATGTATGTATATATAATATATAATATACAATATATATATATATATTCTATTATATTCTATATATATTAAATTTTATATATATATATATATATATATATATATATATATATAAACACACACGCACACACACACACACACTCACACACGCACACACACACTTACACACACACACACACACACACACACACATATATATATATATATATATATATATATATATATATATATATATATATATGTGTGTGTGTGTGTACACTATTTATATATAAACTTAATAATATTAATAATTTCAATAGAAATTAGTAGCTCTTTCTATCACAGTAGAAGTAGTAGCAGTAGTAGTAGCAGTACTAGTAGTAGTAGTAGTAACAGCAGTTTCAGCAGCAGCAAAAATAGTACAGTTGTAGCGGTAATAATGGTAGTAGCTGCAGCAGTAGCAGTAGTAGTAGTGGTGGTAGCAAGTAATGGTAATAGTTTCAGTAGTAGTTAAATTAATTGTGGTGGCATATTTCAGATGGTGGTCAGGTGGACTAGCAGACGTCGTGTGATTGGGGGGCGATAAATAAAAAATAAACGTCCAGCCACTAATTGTTATGTCTTTCCCTAACTATTTAATAACCGTTGTTAGGTTTTTTATGCTCTTTCCAACACTACTTACTCTTCTCTCTCTTGCTCTCTTTCTCTCTCTCACTTTTTCTCTCTCAGTTTCTCTCTCTCTCTGAAACTTTTTATTCCATTTTCCATCATTCGCCTTCTTACATTCAGTTGGAAATACAAATGCTTATGAAAATATATCATTCATATTTCAAACTATTACTTTTATTATTACTGAAACCAGTAGAAGTAGTAGTAAGAGTAGTAGTAGTAGTAGTAGTAGTAGTAGTAGTAGTAGTAGTAGTAGTAGTAGTAAATGTTGTTGTTTTTGTAGTAGTAGTAGCATTAGTAGTGGCATTAGTAGAGGTAGTAGTAGTGTTTACTCGTTGTTACAGTTGTAGTAATAGTAGCAAATGATGTGCACTAATATTAGGCTACAAATTTTTGATACATTTTTTTCAGACTTTTACCAACTCCACTAACGACAGACTTGGTGGTGTCCCCAGAAGATGAGCTATAAATAACTTTTCACTTGCAACCGTGTAAAAGTGAAAACGGAAGTGGAAGCAATTAACAAGATGGCGCGTAAAAAACGATTGGTTATTTTTTTCATGTCAACGTAGTTTTTGTTCTTGTTGTTGTTTGAGTGGTTGACTTACAAATAGTAGTAAAAATAGTCGTTGTCGTAGTAGTAGTAGTTGTTGTAGTGGTAGTAGTAGCAGTAGTAGTAGCAGCAGCATCAGTAGTAGTAGAAGTTGTAGTGGTAGAAGTTGCTGTTGCAGTTGTTATTAAATGATTGTTAGACTTTTTTTTACTGATGATTATGTTTTTATAACTGCAGCATCATTTTATGGTTGTTGTGATGTTGTTGTTGTTTTGTTGTTGTTTTGTTGATATATTGTTGCGATGGTTTTGTTGCTGTGATGGTGTTGTTGTTGTGATGGTGTTGTTGTTGTGATGTTATTGTTGTGATGTGGTTTTTGTTTGATGTTTTTGCTTGATACCTATCAGTACGTGTTCTTTTTTTAATTTTTTATCATGTCGGTAGGCGGGACTTGAATCTAATAACAAAATACCAGCTTAATTCACTGTATAAGCAGTAGTAGAAGTTGTAGTGGTAGAAGTTGCTGTTGCAGTTGTTATTAAATGATTGTTAGACTTTTTTTTTTACTGATGATTATGTTTTTATAACTGCAGCATCATTTTATGGTTGTTGTGATGTTGTTGTTGTTTTGTTGATATATTGTTGCGATGGTTTTGTTGCTGTGATGCTGTTGTTGTTGTGATGCTGTTGTTGTTGTGATGTTATTGTTGTGATGTTTTTGTTTGATGTTTTTGCTTGATACCTATCAGTACGTGTTCTTTTTTTAATTTTTTATCATTCTTTATAATTTTTGCGGACTTGAATCTAATAACAAAATACCAGCTTAATTCACTGTATAAGCACTACATTCCATAAAAATCGAACTATAGTAATACATAAGGAAAACTATTCGGTTGATTCAAGAAGCTATATATCAAATATATCGAGATATTCATTCTTAAATTACATATTTTATGCTCAAGAGATTGAGTACTATATGAATTTTAAAACGAACCACCAGCTTAGTTCACTTTATCAACTCCACATTCTCGATAATAAACAAATCATTGTGCCTAGTTCATAATGTGTCAATTCGTTTCCAAAAACAAAAAATGATGAATATTATTCCATTCTAAAAACTGAGTTTTACTGAGTTTGAAATAGAATGTAGCTCGCCATGGCCCACCCCCTTCCCTTTCTAGATCTACCACTGGTGAAGATGGTACTTTTTTTTAATTATAGAGGTTTAGATTCGAAACACTGTAATAATTTATTATTACATCTTAATATTTTTTATTTGGTTTAAAATTTTAATGAATTTTAATTTGGTCATTCATATAGAATGCATTTTGAACTGTTTTACATAATTGCGTGATTTTTGTAAAACGGCCAAAGAGTTTACAATCTGTTTGATAAGTCTCAAACGCCGGTTGTTTTTAGTTCTTTGTGTAGTAGCCATTTAAAGATATTATCGTTCTGGTTGATTTTGTTCTTGCAGTACGCCGGCTTATTGATTGATTCGACGGTGGCAAAGTTTCCGTTATTCCATCAAGTTGTTCATTTAGAATTTTGGTTTTGTATCTTGGTTGCTCAAGTTTTTGTCCGCCAGACGATGTCACGTTATTCTAGGCCACCAAACTCTTCACTTTTCGTTAGGAATGTTCCTGACGAAGCTCGGTAAGTTTGGGGGAAAGTTAATTTTAAATTTATCAACAGTTTTACCTTGGTTCATTTAATTTGTTTTTAATTAATCATTATTTTTTCAAAATTCATCTAATTGTTTTTTGCCATTGGTTATTTATTTTATTTTTATATAGCAGCTATACTATATTATTATAATCATAATATTACACATTACTATTATATTATAAATTATAGCCTTTTGATTTGGTCCTGGTGATTTGATAATTTTTACTGCTATCATTCATTGGGAATTCTGAATCCAACTTCAGGTTGACTGTAGTTAATTGTGCACAGGCCACAGATCAGTTTTATTTCATATATAAAATAAATAATTTTACATGTAGTTTAGCTTTTTGCAACCGTAGTTCTTAATATTTAATAAATTCAACACTGATTACTAAATTTACTAAACTACGTTGTTGTCGGTTCTGTTTTACCTTTTTAGCCTACAAGTTTAGTTTGGTATTTTACTTAGTTTGAAAATTGTCAATCATTGCATTTATTACTATTAGTTTATTTCACCATATTAAATGCTTTTCCATAGGTATTTATATCAGATTATTTATATAGCCAAAGAAAATCTGATATACTTGTATTAAATCATAATTATTATTTAAAATTATCTTCTTGTATTCTTCTTCTTTCTCGTGCCTTATCCTTTCAGGACATTGGTGATCATCAACCCCCACAAAACCCTATTTTTAACACTGAAGTAGTTGAAATTTATAGCTATTCAACAAGTAACACAAGAACATTTTGAATGTTATTTGTTGTTGATCGCAATCTTTCCAGTGGCTGTAAAATTTTCCATCCCTCCTTTCCGCATGATGTGACCAAAAAACTTTAAATGCCCCTGCCTACTGTACTAGTTCTGTTTATTTAATTAAAATTAAAGTTACATTTTATTCTATTAACTCTTATGCTACACAATACAGGACTGAAGAGTTGAAATCCTTGTTCACGAAGTATGGTCCGGTAAGTGATGTCTACATACCATTAGATTACTATTCAAGAAGGCCCAGAGGGTTTGCCTACATTCAATATCCTTTCCCTTTTTTAATGTTTTTCCTTTTAAAATGAATTTTTTAACTTTTTATTTTTCAATTTTAACTTAGGTCACCTAAATTTTAATCTATAATTTTCATTATCTTATGAGGCTACAATTTTGTTGAGTCCATTGAAACTGATAACAGTTTTATATTAATTAAAATCAGGTTAGAGACAAGCAAGTTACAGATTATTATTTGCACAGACAGACAAGTCAATTGAATTTACTAGTACAGACATTAAAAAAAATCTAACCCTATTCTGCGGTTTAAACAGACAGATCAAGATATATTTGATTTGTTAGTTTTGGGTAATAAATTAAATAATATGTTTATATACAGAAAATTTTTTCATAAGACATTACTTAAGCCTATAAAATATTTAATGCTTTAGATACAGTCAAGACAGTTATACAGACAGTTAAAGCAAAGTTACAGTTTTATATAAATTGGGTAAAGAATTATGTACAGACATGCGACAGATGAATAAAAACAAGAGAGAGTGAAAGAGAGAGAGAGAGAAAGAGAGATTTTATTTCGTTAAAGAATTTGACAGCAGACCTACAAGATATGCTGACATACAGACTTTGCTGTTTACACAATGTTCTTGTAACTTTTTTCTTGAAGATGTCATAATTTTTGTAATAATAATGCTTCATTTAATTTTATCGGGACGTCTTTTGTTTTAAAAAAATATTAAAAAATTATATTTTTAAGTTTGAAAAAAAAATATTTTAATCGTTTATAATTGAAAATTAGATCCTGTCAGTGCATTCTCAAGTAGTCTCTCTTTCATCACATTTTGATGGTATAATCAAAATATCACCAGCTCTACTCATATCTTGTCAATTGACATTTTTACATGACTGATTAAGGGACGGATGGTTTATAAAGGTGATCAGTTTTTTCACCCCAAAGCCTCATCTGATATCATTGCTGTGCCTGCCAGAAAACTGAGTTGAAGATTTTTATTGGTGAGGTTTTATGATATGTAGTAGTTGTAAGGCCATCTGATAAAAGATTATGTAGTGGTTACGTTTCTGCAAGAATTTGGGGTCAAAATAAAATGTTGTAAACTGTTGCATATTCATTCAAAATTACTGTGGAGATGTGATGAGCCTGTGGTAGCTGTATTTCTTAAGTGCACGTATAAACATTAATGATGGCTTAAAAGTTGAAATCCATTTCGTTATATAGAATGTATTATTGCATTAGTACATTTATTTGCTCGATGCATGTGTATGTGTTGTATACAAGACGCGTATATTTGTGCACATAGTCGTGTACACTTTACAAATCTCAATGTAATTTATTCCTGCGAAAATATAATAAAATATATAGACTTCAGGTAATTATCTTTCATTGTCTGAAGTAGCGGAGCAATTAATTACTTCAATAAAAAGTCACGTTAACTAGCTAGAACCCTTAACTCTCCGTATGGTATGATGCGGTGCTACGTATGAGGATGCTAGAGATGCCGAAGAAGCCCTGTACGCTCTCGACCGACAGAGGTTCATGGGCAGGGAACTGGAAATTGAATTTGCCAAAGGGGACAGGAAAAGTAACCGATGTTCATTGTTATCATTTTAATATTTCGTTTGTATGAATACTGTTGGAAAAAAAAATGTGACACAAACGTAAAATGCGTATTTCGCCACGGCCAAAAAAGACTTGAGTAGCAGACGGTAAACACTTGCTAGCAATACTACGGTGTTATAAAAATTCCAACATCTCCAACGTTAGCACCTAATCAGATGAGGACGAGGGAAAGATCGGACCGCTATGACGACGATGACTACAGAGGCGGCGGTCGTAGAAGAGGCTACAGTAGAAGCCCGAGAAGAAACTACAGTAGAAGTCCCAGAAGGTCTGTTTGGTTGTGAATGTTAGATGTGTTCTTTATGTTTATGCATGCTTCCATTTTTGCCTTTTCATGAACTTATTGCTTGCTGTTAATATATTCATTTTGAATCTTAAATTCTATGCACGTCTGCCTAATTAAAATTTTCCTTACTCAACGTTTTAGGAGGTCCAGAAGTAGGAGCAACAATCGCTCGAACAAGTCTGTCTATCCTGCAGATCTCTTCTCTACATTTACTTTTAAATTTAAATATCTTCATTACCTCGTTGTTAGCTACGTATATTTACATACAAGGGTAGATGATTTTTTAGATATCGCGATGGTAATGCTCAATTAACATTAGCACTGTCGCCTGTGAATGTTTTATTTTCTGACCATTTTCAACATTTTACTCTCAACAGGAGAGGTCGATCCAGGTCATATTCGAGGTCACACAGTAGGAAGTTAGTATTAGTGTTTAGATCAAAACACAGTTCTATTGATTTTCTGTTATCTTATTCTGTATCTTCTGGATTGGGCGATTTCTTTAAACGAAGGATAGTATATCAAAGAAAGATATCAAATAAAATAAGATAACCTTAGAGTCGCTATTTCTTTCTTGGTTTTGATAACGTTGAAGTCTATAAAATAAAGATTTAAACGTACAATAATTACTAGTCACATTCATTACCATTGGTAATATTTGGTCAATTTTGTATAGTCTAGAAAAAATTCCAAATGAATCTTAATAATTATAATAATAATTATAATAATGATGACGGCTAACAAAAAATGATAATAAATAAATAAATTGATTAATTATGATTAACCTTTAAATTCGTTTATTTATAACAGGAGAAGCTATACTAGGTCGAGAAGCAGATCTCCATCGTAAAAAAGAAAATGGTGGTGAAATTGAATATTCGTTTATTGTTAATTAATTAATTGACAATGACACTCATTAATAAAACTATTTTCAGACACTGGTAATAATTTTATTTAAAACTTTGTGTTGTAGGCATGTGTAGTTCGATTTTTATGTCACTATGTATGTAGCATTAGCAGTGCTCTAGCTTTCGAATGACAGTAACAAACATTTAAAAATATCTATTGTAATGATACGGAAACTTACTTCGTAATGTAATATGTCAGGAAAATTTTAGTTTTGTTGGTTTTAAAAAATTGTCAACGAGTAAAATGTCTCCATGTACCGAAATAAAAATTTTATTATCGGGTCTTTACACTTTGTCAAATCAGCCCAACGAATGAGCCCAACGAATGAGTTAATTATTCATCCAAATAATTAATATAACAAATGTCACGATCATAAAACGTAGACTCATTTAATTATCGGCCATCTAACTAACATAAAATATTAATCGTTCATGACGTCATCGATATTTAAATGGGTGGCCCAGTTCGGCAGTTGGGTGGCGTACCTCCAGTCGGGCCCCTGGCAAAAAATTAATTAATTTTATTTTAAATAAAAATACTTTGGAAAAAGTTTTCTGCAACACTTCATTTAAATCTTATTATCTTATAAAATGAAAAAATTATTTATAACCGGCTAAATAGTGGTAAAACAGCAAAGAATTAACCATAATGATAATCATTCATACATTGGATAGGGTAGTGAGGTGATATTTAGACGGAAGAGAAATAATTTTTCTCAATGATTTCAGAAATGATATAAAGAAGGTGCAATGAATGCAATGGAATAATGATACAATGGAAACAACAAATTCTACTCTTACAGTAGTAAAAGTTTGTGGTAGCGGTGGCGACATCAGTAACATCAGCAGTAGCAGGGGTAGTATATACTAACATTACAATTTATATACAATATAGTGAAGTTTCCTTGAAAAGACATTTAAAAAATCCAAAATAACGACACTATTAGCATCTTTAATAACATAATTAGCTATAAATAACTTAGTTTGTAAATGAATTAACAATAAATAGTTGAATAACGTAAGTGAAAGTAGCAAACTCTGTACGAGAGGGCGTGCAAACATATGTAGAGTTGATCAGGTATTGGGTCTAAGTTGGTGACAGAGCATTCAGTGCACGTTTCGTCGTAATGATCAGCAGTGGCCTTATGGATAATGCTTTTCAATGTAATGTCTTTGTTATTGTTATCACCGCTGTTGTTGTTGTGGTAATTCTGGTACTCTTCAATGCAGTTGATGTTATGATTATTGTTAATGTTATTATTGTTGACGTTAGTCATTAAGTCGTTACCGACGCTATGGTTATCCATGTTAATGTCATGACTTTTTCTGATGAAGACGTTCCTTTCTTCAATTTTTCGTTTTTTGCTCTCCGGAAAGACATCATCAGAATCGTTGTTGTTGACATTAACATTACTACTACTAAAGCTACTGCTATTTGTTGTTGTATCATTTATGATACTACTACTGCTGGTATTTGTCGTGGTTGTATCATTTTTGATACTGACACGGGCATTAGTAGTAATGATGGTTTCGTTGTTTCTAATGTCTTTGTAGTTGTCACCTACGACGTCATCATCATTATTATTTTTATTATTGATATTATTATTGTTGTTGTTTTTATTATTATTCTTATTTTCCTCATTAGTTGCGATATAGAGGGATGCTTTATGTAGGCCAGACAGGTCGGATATCAGCTGTTGACAGTGAAATGATGTATATACGAATGATATATATCTATGCCGATAATAAAATATATTACTCACTCACAAATACACACACACGTACACAAACAAAAACACACACACACGCAGGCACACAACACACACACGCACATTTAGTTTATATATATATATATATAAAACTGTATATTCTTTGATAATAGAAAACATTGAATGATTCACCTATCGACAGAACGTTTTTAAATTAGCCTAACCCACTACCATGCAGTTAACTAGTTTGTTAAATGATATCAAAAGAAACAACTCCATCCCATTTCAATAACTTTTATGACATTGTTTAATGAAATGAACACTCCACTTAACTTTACAGGATAATTTTTGATACGCTCAAAAAGTTATTAACCCTTACATAATTTGTAACAAAATCTTGTTTCTATTACAATTTACTTATTTATCAATAAAATTATTTTATTTGAATTTATTATTAACATTTTTTGTTGAATTTTATTCAACAATTTACATAAATTACCAAAGATAAAGCATAAATAGCAGATTATAATAATAATTTTAATATTCATAATTATATTTATAATTGTATTTTTTTCCCACTTGTTCCTGGGTTTTTCCGAAATTCCCATGCTTGCCTTTCCCAGGCCCCCAGACAGTCCCATTGTAAATGGGATCATTTATGATGGGATATCCTGATAACAATAGCAATAATAATAATAATTATTATTATTATTACATATCGAAAAATAAACTTTGAATATAAGAAACTAAAACAACCTAAATATTGTAGATGAACTCTAATCTGATGAGTCCTCCCTGTCTTCGGTTCGCACCTCACAATGCTCGTCCTGCCATCTGTGAACAGACGTCTAAAAACAGTTAGTGATTCTTTGCCAGCTTCACTTACGAAGTAAACGCCTAATTTCTCCGAGAGGACGCTGATTGGTTTGCTGCATTCTGTGGTTTCACTAGAAATTTGAAGGAAATAAATGCATATGTATATAGGCATAGAATACACACACACACACACACGCACGCACACACACACACACACAGTTATACATCGTTACTTCCAAAATAAGGCAGAGATATTTAGTACATAGAATGCGCACTTTATTAATATACAAGAGTTATATTTAGTAACCTTGGAAATTCCCCCTCAACTTTGCATAGATAAACTTTCTCCATGAGTCTATTTTTAATCTGCTCCATAATCTCACGCGTTTTTTGCTCCGTCTTTGCCAGGATTACCAATCCGGACGTCAGCCTGTCTATTCTGTATAGAACTGTGGTGGTGATGATTATGAGTGATAGTTATGATGACGATGACGACTGTGATGACGGTGACTTCACGATGATAATTAGGGCGATAACTGAATGAGATTGCAATGATGACGATGATGTCATCAACTCAGTCATATAGTTAAAAGAACTACTTCGAATTTATCGATAAATCACTTCAAATACATAAAACTGATTACATAGATAATGAATAAATAAATTAAAAACTACATAGATAATAAATAAACTATTAGCAAACATTAAAACCTCTTAAATTTCTAAATCCATATTCTTTGGCCAGTATATAGAGCAAAGAATTATGCCTATACCTTCCGCAGGGGTGGATAGGAATCGAGGCCGGTTTATCAACGACCAATAGATCTTCAGTATTCGAAATTAAGTCAATTCTCTTGTCCGTGATTGGTAGTTCGTGTCTGGTGGCAGGTTAATTAGGAAATTGGCGGTAGTTAGGTTATTAATTAGAATTAATTGGTGGTGATGGTAATTCAAATTACAATTAATAATTAATAATGAAAATCGAATAATTACAACGCAGTATTAACTTTACATTATAAACAACAACAACAACAACAATTAAAGAAATTATAATAACAACAATTGATGATGACATAATGATGATAATGACCTATGAACTCTGTTGACGATGACATCACCATTCTGAATGACGTAATCAACATCAATTTTTTTGCCTTCAACTCTAAGGCTCTCTCTCTCAATGAAAAATTTCTTTGTGAACGAAAAATAAAGAAAAATTATTAGCATTTTATATTCATTCATTTAACTTCTTTTATTAAATTAAATAATAATCTATTTATTTTTTAATTATTTTTTTTATCAATTTATTCAATTATATTCAATTAATTATAATACAACAATGTACTCAACTAGTTATTATCATTTTTAATTAATAAAAATACTAACACATTTATCATATGAGTAATTTTGAAATTCCTCTACAAAGACATCCACGAGCTTTCTGCCAAACCATCTGCCCTTTGCATTGGCAGTGAAGTCATAATAGTACGGATGCACCTTTCTAAGGCCAATAAAAATGAAAAAATTGTTTCTTATAGCTTTATAAATTTAATCATTTTTTCATAAGTATTTACTGAATTTATTCATTTCTTTCATTATTTATTTATAGATTTATTTGTTATTTATAGTATAAAAAGCTCTTTTTTTGACTAAAAAAATGAAATTTAATTTTTTGTAATTTTAAGTTCCATATTTTTTTAAAACATATAAACACACTTAAATTAATTTAACAGATAAATAACAAGTATTTATATAATATTGACAACAACAAAATTATAAAAATAGGAATTAATTATGATGATTATGAATAATTATAACGAATAAATAAAAATTTTCAACTGTTTTCATAGTAGTAGTGGGCTTCATTTAATGTTTCCTCTGTTATAAGATCCATTAACTTCTTTCTCTCCATCATCTCTTTAGCTTTGTCTCTTTTATTTTCAACATGAACTCTTTCAAAATTATTGACACCATCATTTGCTAGTTTGGCTTTTAGTTTATTTTCTTGTCGTTTTAGCTGAGAAAATTTAAAATTTGCAAAAAATTAATGGGTAAATTATATTTATATTACCTAAGAATATAGATTTAAATTTCAATTAAATCTATCACACATGTATAAAATTTTTTCAAAAATTAATTTGTTTATTAATCAATTAAAATTTTCAAATAAAATCAGACTAGTTGATTAATCACAATACAGTACGTACAACAACCTACCCACCCTTTTGAATGCCCTTCTTGAAAGTTTTGAGACATTGTCTGCAGTAGAATTTGTACAAGATGGCGGTTGGTCTACAGGAACAATTTCCACACAATCTTCTCCACTCATAGTGTTCAATTTATTCTTGGTGCTGTCCATGAACCAAACTTCTTGAAAATGAATGGAGGAGAAAGTTTTGAAATTAAAATTAAACAATGAAATTTTGTAAAGCTGGCGATTAGTTTTAAGCGAATTAAACAATGTTTGTCGTATTTTATCAATGATCATTTATGAATATTGTTATATTTTGTTATTGTGCTTTAGATTCAGGATTGCATGTACAAAACGATATTAAAAACGTTTAAAAGTTAACATTAACATTTTAAAAATTTATTTTTTATAAAAAGTTTTTTCTAACAATTAACAAATTAACAAAATTTGTACAAATTTTAAAATTAATTATAATAGTTATTTGCATTCTTTAATTTTTGTAAAACGCTCTAAAAATAAATTCATTTCTTCGTATATTCTTTGCAGTTTGTTTTTCTTTTACCGTTTCCGGTCTTTTATTGATGGTTGGTTTTCGCGAAGTGTTTTTTTAATCATTTTTAATCATTTTTAATCATTTTAATCTCAGAGTTTTAAATTATTTTTATTAGAGATAATCGTTTCATTGAATAAGTGCGTGCAATTATTATTGCTATTTCGAAACAATCTCACCGTTACTTTTCATATTGATTAATTTGTCCTAATGATAAACTTAATGCTCGCAGATATAATGGCCGATTTTGAAGAATTGCCCGTGGTCGAGGCCCAAGATGTCAAATTGTTTGGTAAGTGGTCCGCCGAAGATGTCAACATCAATGACATCAGTTTGACTGTAAGTTCATACGAGTTTATTTTATCAATGTTGATTTGCTGACCGGCTAAGCTAATTATTATGTTGAAATTTTAATTCTGCTGTACTGTTTGCTTTTAGGATTACATCGCTGTAAAGGAGAAGTATGCGAAATATTTGCCGCACTCAGCTGGTCGGTACCAAGCCAAACGATTCCGCAAAGCCCAATGTCCCATCGTTGAGAGGTTGACTGACAGCTTGATGATGCACGGAAGGAACAATGGCAAGAAGCTGATGGCCATGAGGATTGTGAAGCATGCTTTTGAAATCATCCACTTGCTCACTGGAGAGGTTGTAAAATTTTTTATTTTTGTTCTAATAAAGTTGTTCTTTTTAATTTTTCATCTTGTCACAAAACTTTATTTCTTCATTTTCAGAATCCTCTACAAATTTTGGTGAATGCCATCATCAACAGTGGCCCTAGAGAAGATTCAACACGTATCGGTAGAGCTGGGACTGTGAGGAGGCAGGCAGTTGATGTTTCTCCGCTGAGGTTTGTTGTCACCTGGGATATCATATCTGTGTATTGTTTTGATTTCAAAGTATGTTTTCTAAATAACAGAAATGCAAATGTTCACAATAATATATATAATAATAAGTAGAATTGTTCTTTCTCACAAAATATTTGACTATTTATCTGCATGTGACAATGATTTGTGCAGACGTGTGAATCAGGCAATTTGGTTGTTGTGCACTGGTGCAAGAGAGGCTTCATTCAGAAACATCAAGACCATCTCTGAGTGCCTGGCTGACGAACTCATCAATGCTGGAAGGGTCTGTGTTGTTGTTTGGCACATTGTTGTTGTTGGCAAGTTGATACAATGTTTTTGTTGCTAAGTTTCTGTGTTCATGATTTTTTGTTGTTGTAATGATCCAAGATTCTTTTTCATGATTGATTGTGGTTTGTTTAGGCATACATGACATGTTCTAATGTCGATTATTCTCTATGCAGGGCTCATCCAACTCATATGCCATCAAGAAGAAAGATGAACTGGAGAGAGTTGCCAAATCAAACAGATAGACAGATTACATATATATTTATTTAGAAATATATATTATGTTGTGTTAACAATAATAATAATTGAAATTATTGTTGGTTATTTCGAATTGATGGAATGTGAATCGGATCATCGTTTGTTGAGTGAAAAATCTTCAACATACTCGTAAAACCGGTTCTGTTTTTTTTGTTGATTTGTAAAGCATGGGAGTGCCGTATTGCCGATATGAATCGCACGAGATTAAGGCTTTGTGTTGTGTTATGAGATAGATCTAATACGAGATAGCTACGGAGCGTGTCACCGGGGTGATTATATTTTTTGAATGTCAGTGGATTGTGGCCTTGATCTTTTGGATTAAGCTGGTAATTTACTAGATTCGTGTAGTAATCAATCTCATAAGCGTGAAGATATACAGTTTGGTGATAGGAGTTCCGACGTTTTTCGATATACTGTACGGTTGTGCAATGCTAAAGTTCAAATTTTTTGAATTGTGGCAATTGTATAATAAGCTGGTAGTTCGTTGAAAGATTGATGTAGTAATCAATTTTTGGATAGATGGATAAATAGAAAGAGAAATTGGGATTCTAAGAAAATATTGAGCTGTAACGTATAACAAAGGCATCGTCCATAAAAATTAATTTCGTGTTTATTAGTGTTAAAAATGCTTTGGATTAATGCTTTAGACTGTATTCTGCTTTTATTCCTTTCCATTAAAATTATCTTTCAAGATTTTAAGTTAGTAAGTGTTATAAAAATGTTTTTATAATACAAGTAATAAACGAGCGTGTGCGTGGTGTTTTCGCAAACAATTGTGTGCGTGATTTAAACATTAAAATGATAATAACTAATTATCTCGAAAGCATACATGCGTTATTTCTAGTGACTTGTCCTTCATACCGTTGAATAAATTGATATGTATTTATATGTGTGACACACATACACACACACGCACACAGGCACGCACACATGCATGAAGTGATAAAGTAAGTGAGAAATTAAGCGCTAATGAATTTATTGCTCGCGGACATCACGTACGTTCCATGAACAGAGCATGTCTGTCTGTCTTTGAAGATTGATTAATAATATTTTATGGCGTGTATGTGCTATATATATATATATATTATATATATATATATATATATATATCTGTGTGTGTGTGTGTGTGTGTGTGCGTGCGTGAGCGTGTGAGTACCAAACACACATGCATACAGACACACATACAGACACACACACATATACAAGAGGTAGGGATAAAAATTACTTAATCTAACGCAAACATGCTGCCCAAACGTTCATAATTTAACAAAACTCTCAATACATGACGATTAATGTTTTCATCTGCCCCTCTGCACCATGCACACATACACACATTCATGGACAAACACACACACACACAAATACACACACTCGCGTTCGGCAGATCACGAAGATCAATTTGAAGGATGCAATCTAACGGTTAACGATATTTTAATTTACTTATTCAACTTCTTTCCAATTCTTCAATGTGCGTGTGCGCGTCTGTGCGCGTCTGTGTGTGTCTGTGTGTGTACATGTATGTGCCTGTGTGGTTGTTTGTTTGGGTGTGTTTGTTTGTTTGTTTGATTCTGTATTTGTTTGTGTTTGATTTTCCTGATTTCAAAACATCACGAATTAAGCAAAAGTGTATGCTGACAGAAATTTTTAACAAACAGATAAAAATTTTGTATAAAATTATATAATTACATATAATTACATATATAACATTCAAAAACATGGCCTGGAGCAGACGAAAATACAAACTTACATACTAACTCATAAAAATTCTCAGAAACACTTAAAATTTATTAATAATTTATAATTATAAACTTATGACGCACTTATAATTCATCAAAAGAGATACAAAAATTCACATTATAGTACTTGCCAATAGCTAAATTTACATCCCAGACGCGTTAGTAGTTGTGAATATGCTGAGGTAGGAAAGCGTAACGAAATGAAAAGAACCAAAAGGAAGCTAAAACAAATTTAATTTTGTTCTCGAAATTGAAAATTATAAAATTGAAAATTATATGTTATTATTATTGAATCTAAGATAGAATTTATATCAAAACTCACCTACATCAATTCATAACCTCCTTGCCAACCTAATATAATAATCATGTACGTGCATGCTAACAAAAAGGCGGGAAAATATGAACAGGCATTGTTATTTTGGCTAATTAAATAAGTCACTTCAGTTTTCACTTCCAATTTCAGTTTACAGATTAATTATCATTTTTTTTAACTTTTTTTGCAATTAATTAAAAACCAAAAAAGAAAAGAAAAACAGAAAAAGACGGCGAAATAGAAGTGCAGAACTCTTGAGATAAATAGCAGGTAGAGGAACGTGCGTACGTGCAAGTAACCTGTACTTGTGCTGAGTAATTACTAATTATTTTCATCTATTAAATGCTGCTGCTGCTACTACTACTTCTGCGACTATAACTACCACAGCTACTACTACTACTACTACTACTACAACTACTACTACTTTTACTAGTACTGTACAATAGTATTCACACAGACAAACAGACATTCAGACGGACATACAGTCAAACAGACAGACAGAAAGAGAGAAATTCAAGCAGACAGACAGACCGACAGACAGAGAAAAAGACAGACAGACATAGAGTGACAGAGATTTTATTTCCACGGTGTCCCTTGCACAGCGGCAGATTGGAGAGAAAAGAAATTTAATCGAATTATTTATCACCCTTACTTGTGATCCTAATGTAACTTTGTACCTCTACGTATGCTTCTATATGTGTGTGGATATGTGTACCTGTATTTCCTAACGTTTGAATCACCCTCTTCGCTTGAGTGTGTGCGTGTATATGCGCGTATGTGTGTGTGTGTGTGTGTGAAAACTGTTTTTGTTGTGTACGTTCGAATATTTTGTGTAATAGTTTACATGCGTGCTTGTATGCGTGTTCATATGCGTGTTTATATGCGTGCTTATATGTATAGCCGAGAATATAATTTTTGATTTATTTTTTGATCACTAAGTTTTTTTTATACATTCATTCATTCATTCGTTCGTTCGTTCGTTCGTTCGTCCATTCGTTTGTTCATTCATTCATTCATTCATTCATTTATTCATTCATTCATTCATTCATTCATTCATTCATTCATTCATTCATTCATTCATTCATTCATTCATTCATTCATTCATTCATTCATTCATTCATTCATTCATTCATTCATTCATTCACTCACTCATTCACTCATTCATTCATTCATTCATTCATTCATTCATTCATTCATTCATTCATTCATTCATTCATTCATTCATTCATTCATTCATTCATTCATTCATTCATTCATTCATTCATTCATTCATTCATTCATTCATTCATTCATTCATTCATTCATTCATTCATTCATTCATTCATTCATTCATTCATTCATTCACTCATTCACCCATTCATTCATTCACTCATTCACTCATTCAGTGATGGCCATTTATTTTCTATACAAAGAGTAAAAGTATTATAATTCAATCTAGCGGAACATCAGTGAAATTAGACAGGCCTTTTCTGCTTCGTTCAAGGGGATGGAGAGAAAGAGAAAAAGGAATGAGAGGGTGAGAGAGAGTGAGAGAAAGAAAGGGGGAAAGAAGCGATAGAAACAATGAGCGAGAAAATGAGGATGGAAAAAAGGGAAAGAAAAAGAAAGACAAAAATCAGAAAAGAGAGAGAGAGAAAAAAAACTGAAAAAGAGAAAAAATGAAAGAGAAAAAGAGATATTTTTCAACATTTTAAACAATACATTGAAATCGTGATAAAAAAAACATCAGCTGCTGAGAGACACATCAACCACAACTACACCAACAACACATACTTCAACAGTGTCAAACGGCCAGAGAAACAACAAGAGAAACAAAATAACAACGTCACCCAACGTCAACAGCAGCAGAAGCGGCAGCACCAACGACACCAACGACCGCAACCCTTACTATCACCAAAACCAATTAAGATAATTCAAATCGTGCATCAATGGAATTAGGTGCATCTGGAAAAACCAAAATCTATTTTTACAACTCCTCGTACTCTTTCTCGTCCTCCTATTGGATAGATACCAGGTCACGACCTGTGACGTCACGTTTAATTAAACAGGTGCGCCAGCCACATAAAAATTCAATTTGATTGATTGCGCTATTCCAGGGCGCTGCGTTTATGCCTCTGTTTAGGATGTTTATGTTTATGCTACTTCGTTCATGTTGATGAATGGACGGACGTGTGGGAAAGTTTACGCAAAATTTCTGTAAATTAAATTTATTAATATTACACACACTTACACGCACACACGCGCACATACGAACTCGCTCATACGCTTACACATACATATAATTTTGTTTATACATAATAGAATAAAATTGTATATATTATCATTGTATGTATCATAGTTGATGATGCATATGTCCATAGATAAGAAATTATTCATAGAATTGTAAAAATAAATATTCTTTGACGTCCAACTAACAACTTTGTAATGTCAATGACAACTTTGTGGCTATCAATTTTTAGATTTGTTGGTTTAATAATTAAATAAATATAATTCCATATCTCTCTTCAACAAAGGCACAACGGCAGACACACAGTGCAGTTGAATCTGGATACCGTAACAGTAAAGCAATGAACTTTGTCGCTACGCCACCATTCTGCCCAAATGTAATAAAATATTTTACAATCAAAGAAATAAGTTTATCGAGATGCTTTAGGGCCTGTATATAAACCTCCTATCGCATTGGTTTCGGTAGATTTTCAATAGAAAATCCCTGGTCTTTATAAATACTTTTACAGCCCAAAACTGATGGAACCGTCAATGTATTTGAAGACCAAAGAACCTCTCCTCAAGGCCATAGTGGATCGCCACCTTGATATATTCAAGATGGAGCAGTTGGTCTATGAAATCAATCTTTATAAAAACTATTTGGAGCGAAACAATAAATATAACATGACGGCTGACGACATACAGATCCTCGCTACCAACGTCGCTTACGACTCGAATCATTTTGTAGAGGAGAGAAAAGAATGGCAGAACAGGTTCTTCAACACGCTCCCACAAGATTACCAATACGACGTGATGAAAGAGCTGAGAGAATTATACTTCAGGAACACGCCGAGAGATAAATTAATAGTTATGGCACATTCCGTAGAAAAAGAATTTGTAGCAAACGTTTGTATCGAGGACACGTTTTTTCAAGAATTTTCAAAGAACAAGCGATACAAGCTGCCGTACATCGAAGGGAAGTTTATCAACGTGGAGTGCAGCATCTGCTTGGTCCCCTTCGAAGAACGCACCTTCGTTAGCCAGCTGCAGTGCGCTCATGCTTTCCATTACGAATGCATCCATCACTGGTTTTCAGTTGGAAATTGTTGTCCTGTATGCCGAACTAGGATTGCCTACGATATGAAATACCGCTTTCACTCGACTATGTACGAGTACCTAGGTGTGAAGTTTCTCAACGTCCTCGTTCATACAACGCCGAAATACTAATAACAAATGAATCAGCAGCAGTTTGGAATCAGAGTAAAGAAATTAACCATCGAAACAAATTTAAAGACTTGCAGGAGGCCAAATATTTTATTGTTAAATTTTATGTACATATTCAACATTTTATAATTTTGCCAATAATTGTTAATAAGGTTTTTTTTTCATTAAATTTAACTTTTAACTTAAACTCTCCAAGGCTACTCCTTTGTTGTTAACAAAACTACAGAAGTGATGCTTTGGCTAGGACATTGTTAAGATATTAATTAGGAAAAGTTTGGACGGTTCTATTCAGCTTAGAAAACCAATCATACATTTTCACAACCAATTTATAGAGCTGGATATTGTAAAAAGACGAAGTGAAAAATTAGGCAAAGTAATGATGATAAGGAACTTTGTCATCTGTGACAGTAAAATACGAAATTTTTGTGATTTGTATTCTAGGCCCGCTTGTCCAGCATATTCTATGAACAGCTGTGTGATATTTTGTCATATTTAAATAAATAATCTGAAAAAAAATTGAACAACATTTGCTGCGATTTGTTTTGACATTTCATTATATTGATACTAGAATTAAAATCATACCTACATGGATTTGAACGAGTTTCTCTCCGTACCGCCATAACCTACAAGTCTCATGGAATATAAAATTGAAATCTTTTATATGTTTTTTAGTTGATAAAGTATATTCAGTATATTAGTACATTAAATTGTAATAATTTTGAATTATTATTTTTATTGTTTTTAGTTGTATGACCAAACTACTTAAGACTTGTAAAGTTGTAAGATATCATACAAGTCCATCAAGGTTGTATGATATCATACAAACCCATCAAAGTTGTATGATATCATACAAACCAATCAAAGTTGTATGATATCATACAAACCCATCAAGGTTGAAGATCGACATTTCATTTCTTCTAGTGAGCTTTCTTTAATAATACAATTATTACTTAACGTATTTTAAGCAACTCAGCGCCTCATTACATGCTCTACAACTATTAGCGCCACATCTATCGAAAATATTGTTGTGACCCTTGACCTCGCAACTACCAACACCGATGTTATAACTTCAATGATCTCTATATTTCCAACACTAGTGTTCTAGCTTCCAACGATCGTCAAGAGTTCGTTTTTTTCCGTAGGTTCAAGATTTGCGATAAGATGAACACAACTGCTTCAAACGCAAACTTTGTTGAACGTTTATTTGAATGCCAACAGTAATAGAAACACTAAACTAACCCAAGTAACTACACCAATTCCAATTACAACTTCGCTTCAAACCTCGCTGGAAACCTTTCTAGAAACTTCTATCTCCGCAGCACCTATTTATAGTTTTTTTACAGTAAATTTTCACAATCAAAAGATTACTACTATAATAAAGATAACAAAGATAACAAATAGTCAAGACAACGAATCATATAGCGCAATTTGATCATTCCATGGTTATAACAATATTATCAATTGAAATATATCTCTATTAATTTAACATTATCATCATGTTTTTACGTATCAAAACTTTAATATATGTTATGAAATAAGAACTTTGTTTTTAAAAATTAATAAAGTCGGCGTGGCAGTATACTGGTTAAGGTGCCTGGCATTGCTGTTGCACTGACTGGGTTCTAATGCAAATAGACTCCAGCCAATTAAACGCTGCATGAATGCATGTGTGTGTATGTATGTATGTTAAAACCAAAACATGATGAGTGACACTGAACCGTCAAACATCAAGTAACAAATGGATTAACACTTTGATTTGTCGTTAATTGCACATGTCGGCATTCAGTTGGATATTCAGTTTCAAGCACACAGACACGCAGGAACCGCTGCAACAAGCACGAAATGTGGTTAGTTGCGAAAAACAGTTCCCTGCTGTCGCCTGATCTGACGCTGATCATTTTGCATATTTCCTTAAGAAATTTAAGGGTGTTGGGGTCCATCGGGCCAAGAACCTCGATGCATATTGGCAAGAATTCCATCGAGGGGAGGGCGTTCCCATATTTTTTCATTTTCTCGTCCGCTGCCCTGGCCGCGGCCAAACCGCATTCTTTACTTGTCAGGTTTACGTATCGTTCGGCGAGGGTGCCAGGGACCGTAACATCCCACGCCAAACATCTGCCGGCTCTCCAAGGTATTAGCGTGCATCCGTCCGGGCGCCTACCATCATGCGCAGAAATGCCGGATGGTTCCTTGAGAACCGGGATTGAAGCCTTGGAGAAGAGCCGACAAATGTATGTGTGTGTATGTGTGTGTGTGTGTGTGTGTGTGAGTGTTTATGATGTATGTTAATTTTATTCTCGATCATTGATTTGCTTATTTTTATTTTCGTTGTTTATATACATATATTGAATCGCGTGTATGTGGTTGCTAACTGTTATGCTCATAAATTAATATTGAGAATGCAATTTGTGGAATATAAAAAAAATATTGCACTGGAGAGGACTGCTGATGTGGCAGGGTGCAAAATACACAGCCCGTATTTCCTGTGTCTGGTATTGATAAACGTTTTCAATTTGCTATATCCACACAAAAATCACACAAAAGCACTACACATTCCACATTAAACACATTTACGTGTACGCATACACACGTACACACACACTAACACATACACGCACACACACACACACTAACATACACGAAAAGCGGTGTTGAATGCGTGACTGTTGAACATGAAAGCGAGATTCGTTTAAACAGGTATGCAGGTCTTTTTATGTGGATGTAATCATGAATACATGTATGCATGTATGTATGTGTGTGTGTGTGTGTGTGTGTATGTGTGTATGTATGTATGTATGTATGTATGTATGTATGTATGTATGTATGTTTGTTTGTTTGTTATAGTGTTATCTATTCAAAAACGAAGGTTAATAAATGTTATAGGCAAACTGAGCAAATTCTTATTCGAAGCAACATAATATGGAGAACGCTGTAACGGTATGTATGTATGAATGTATACGTGTGTGTGTGTGTTCGTGTGTATATATGTGTGCGTGTGCGTGCATCAACAGACTTATAAGTGTCCCCTATCTAGTTTTTATGAGCCTGCTTGTTTGCATGTAAGTGTGTGTATGCTTGCTTTTATTCGTCTTTATAAATATGGATCTAATTATTAAGCCATGTGAACATTGTAAATATAAAGTAGATATATAAAGTTAGAAAGATTTAAATGAGTGAGAGAGAGAAAGAGAGAGAGAGAGAGAGAGAGAGAGAGAGAGACAAAGAGAGAGAGAGAGGGAGAGAGAGAGAGATTTGAACGTGTGATGTGACAGAGAAATTTGAAACAAAATTTCCAAGAAAGGATGTATAAAATGAAATGTAATGAAATGTACGGTCGAACTGAACCGCAAGGTTCAAAGGTCAAATGTCGCCGGATGAACTCTCGTCGAAGTTATGGATTAAAGTGCGAAAATATAATAACAAGAAATAATAATAATATTATTATTATTATTGTATTATAAAAAATAATAAAGAAAATAAAGTTGACAACAGTGTAAAAATTGTGATAACGAGAATTGTGATAATAATGATGATGTTAAACGAAAAAAAATCATATTGGTAGAGATTTCATTTTCAGACATATTTTTCCATGACGATGTAGGGCGAATATTTTTTTGATGGTTTTAAACAAGGCAAACAGTTTTAATAGTATGAATATACGTTGGTTTTAGTTAAAAACTTTATAGCAAACAAACACACATACGTATATATACGCATACAAACATTTCACATACAAACAACACACATACAGACATATGCAAACAAACACACACACGTAAGCATACACGCAAACATACAAAGGTAATACAATCCACTTGGTAACGACGGCTGGTATAAATTTTATGCCTGCAGTATATCTCGCGCTAAAATCTACGGATACAGACAAGCACACACACATACACAGACACACAAAAACACACACCACACACACACACCACACACATGCGTTCACACATAAACAAACATACACATACATACACACGCCTAAAGAGATACATCTAAGTATATATGAATACATGCATTGCAATACATTCATTCACATACCTACATTTAAATACGGAATCAAATGAACACGCCACATAGAACGGTAAGTAATATTTTTTAATATTTAATTAGTTAGTCAATTACTTAATTAATTAATTAATTGAAGATTTGTTGAAGAATTAGTTGAAGTTTCGGAGATATTCCATCACTTATTGAGTCTATTGTTGCTTGTTATGGGATAGAATTTTAAAGGGAAACACGGCACCTGTCAAATTGAATAACATAAAAATTATTTAAAACTGAAGGAAATGAAATGACGGATGACGATATCAACGTCCTCACCTTGCTTCTGAATGGAACTAACTTGCTCCCTTCAGAAAAAGAAGTTTGAAACACGAGGTTCTTTTCTCTACCACAGCATCACCATTAAAACAAGATGGTAAAATAGTGTTTGGGAATATTTATTGGGAAGTGCTGATGAACATGGCGAAAATGGCGCTTTCGAAACTAATTAATTGATTGATTGGTTGATTGGTTGGTTGATTGATTGATTGATTGATCGATTGATTGATTGATTGATTGATTGATTGATTGATTGATTGATTGATTGATTGATTGATTGATTGATCGATCGATCGATTGATTGATTGATTGATTGATTGATCGATCGATTGATTGATTGATTGATTGATTGATTGATTGATTGATTGATTGATTGATTGATCGATCGATTGATTGATTGATTGATTGATTGATTGATCGATCGATTGAATGATTGATTGAACTTGGAAATTTTGGAAACTTGAAAGTTTTTACTGTACGAAAATCCCAACAAAAAATACTAGAAGCTTTTTGGAAGAAAAATTTAGATGAAAAATTTACAACGTTTATACTGGCCCTTCCAAATAATGTACGCTACAAATTACTAAACATTGAAGGAAAAAGAAAGAAAGACGCAAAAAAGGAGAGCCGCATTGAAAAATGAATGAAAAGAGAGAGGGAGAGATGGAGAAAGAGAAACACAGAAAAAACATAAAGAGAGAAAAAAGGACAGAGAGAGAAAAAGAAAAAAGATTGAGAGAGAGAAAGAGTAAGGGAGAAAGAGAGAGAGAGAGAGAGAGAGAAATAAACAAAAAGAAAGAAAGAAAGAATGTATATATACAACACATTTAGATACATGTTATATACGTATATAGGTTCATATGGCATGTAACAACATGCGCGGAAAGATGGTTTATAATAATTGAAGGAAGACTCGCTACCATCACCGCGACGATCAGTTGTACGTCTGGATCGTTTCTTGATTGATTTTGAAATTCGTAGAATTCGGTTTCCCATACACACACATCTATATATATATATATATCTATTTATTTTTTGGTTTTCCGTTCTTTGCTCGTTGTTATTTAATAATAATAATAAAATCAATAATAATAATAATAATATTATTATTATTAATATTAATAATAATAATAAGAGTAATAATAAGAACAATACGTATAATAATGAATTTTATCTACAATTTCTTTTTTATTTTTTAATTTTTGTTTAAACATTTTTCAATGTATGAATAGATACGAGAAAAAAATACAAAGAAGTAAACACAAGACGAGGCAACAACTAATAAAGAGTTACTTACTTAAATATAACGGGTAATAGAAATGATTTTAAATATCTAACATACTCAACTATAACAATTAAAACTGAACACGCTTAACACATTGAACTTACTCAACAACTGAAATAAATGTACAGTTGTTGTTGTTGTTGCTGCTGCTGTTGTAGGTGTTGTTGAGAGTGTTGTAATTTAGCATTGGTGACATTAATGACGAGCCGAAACAACAACGTAACGTGACATTAATAAAGCTACATCAGTCACAAATAACCTCGCAATGAGTCGTAATACAAGAAAATACAAATAAATAAATTATATTACATGGATGAAAGTAAAAGTATAGAGATTAAAAGTTACAAACATAAAAGCAGTTTCGCCAGTAGAGTTGATTTTATTATGGAGATGATCGTAAAATTTGGCTGCTGTATTTATTAGCTACTACAACAACAACCACCACCACCACCACCACAACAACAACAACAACAAATACAACAAAAAATACAACAACAACAACAAATACAACAACAACCGCAGCATCATCATCAACAACAACAACATCATAAACATCGCCATTATTCTGACAATCACCGTCATCACCAATTTCGTCATCATCGTCATCACCATCAACTACGCCATATATAAAAAAACGACATCATTACCAGCAACGTTAAAAGCAACAACATCGTCATCATCATCACCATCATCGTCATCATCATCATCGTCATCGTCATTATCATCATCATCTTCTACAACAACAACAACAGCAACTGCAATTACAACAAAAACGCTCACCAAATCATACATCGACGATTTAACAAATTTAAGGGGGTACCAAAAAACACCACCACACCACTACCACCACCACCTCCATCATTATCATCACCACCACCCCCACCACCAACAACAACAACAACAACAAATTTTTAAAATAAAATCTTCCCTTTTCAGAATGATGACATTAAGAGTTTATGAATTATTAACTATTTCATATCTATGCCTCAAAGTTTTCCAGATATCTATGGGGTTAAGCTTACCACTATCATCAGGTCAGTCTGTGTGTGTTTGTGTGCGTGCGTGCGTTAATGTGTACTTGTAGAGAATTAGTGTTTGATTGTAGTTAAGTTACAACGTCAGTATGTCACGATGTGTGCGTGTGCGTGTGTGTGCGTGTACGTGTGCGTCTGTGTGAGCTCGTATGACTGTTTGTAAGTGACACCATGCATCAAGTCTGCCACACGTAAACAAATGAACATAAAACATACACTTGTGTTGCGTATATACATCCGCGCTCACACACACACCACACCGCCACACACACACA